TGAATTAAAAATATAAACATTTAAGCAAACGCCACATTTCAGTTTTCCCACTAAAAGTATTATATGAACGACCGCCGCGAGATTCCTACCAGTCATGAAGCGAGGCGCAGTTACTCCTTGACCGATGAGGTGACGAATAAAACGACTTCACGTGATTTTTTAAAGGAAGGGTTATATTTTTACAAGATGAATATGTACGAAAATTGTGTACGATAAATATTAATTGAAATTTTCAAGTAAAAAACTATTATTGTCAGTCCTGAATTTGAATTATTCATTGCCCATTTGACTCATTTGCGATTAGAATAGTAGTTATAGGAAAAGAGTTGTACTAAACATATTGGATAAAAAGTACAGTTCATACTTAGAAATCACGTTATCATTATTGCCTCACATGACTCTCACTTGAAATGCCTTAGGATATGATGATAGGAATTTTTATGACGTGACTTCCAGCTATCAGGAGATAAAGTATGTCGTATTGCGCGTGAAAAACAGATTCTTTACTATCCTTTCTGTCTTTATCGTACGTTTGTGTGGGAGTGAATATGTTTGGACTTATAAATTAACAAGTCATATTATTTCCATCCACATCTACTCTCCTTTTCTCTCCTTGTAGCTCTTTTATAACGTTAACGTCCCGCACCTCCGGAGCACAAAAAATTTGTGAGCGTTTCCCAAAAACGGAGGTGGCAGCGATGGTGCACGTAACTTACTGTGCCTGTGTAACAGCGTATCTGTGGACAATCAAAAAAGTTGGAGCAACGGTTTCTTTGCGGTGCACTCATACGTGATATGAGTTTTTTATGAGTATGGGTGATTTGTTTGTGACAGGTGAAACTGATGATAGGAGGTCTTGTATAGAAAATTTTGATTTATCGCTGCTAATATCATTTATTTTTAATATTAATTTCTTTAGTTGCTCAAGCAATACTCTAACTTTAACAAAGAGCCGAAATTTTCAAATTTTTTAATCTTTCTACACTTATAACTAGAACACTTCATCACCCTTAAGCTCGTCTCGCTCATGAATTTAAATATTTCTTGAACGAGGCGTAGCAATCTGTATGATACAGTGTTGATTTTTTATCAGTTTACCCATGATGTAACAAATGCCTCGCGCGTCTCGGCACTCTCAATCTCATCTCAAGTTTAATATGAATTCTGCAGGTGATGGGTTTGAAGACGTGTTCATCACAGACTTTTTGCGATTAATCGACAGTATCCAAGCTATCAGTACGCGTGCGTCGAATTACCCTTGCTAAGCATATGAACACTGAGTTTTTTAATCGCAGATTCCAAGGTAGGAACAATTATGCTATACAGCCTCCATAGGTCAGTTATTTCAAAAAGTTGATTTCATTTTTAATTTTACTTACCATTTGTGGCGCTAACTTCTTTAACACTATTGATGAAAAATATAATAAAAACACGGAAATATAGCGTACATAATATATATTATATATACATAATCGTAAAACTACCCTTGCATAATTTACGACCACTGCTGTGTGAGTGAAAATATTCGTGGTAAGATGCGTTAAATTAATCTACTCTAATAAACCAAAGCATACTTTTCTCGGTAGATTGTAATTTTAGAAAAAAAATTCTTGCAAAATACGCCTAAACGTGAATGACCGAGCAAACGACTTGAGGGTTTATGAATTTTGCATACATTTACATGTTAGTTACAAATTGAAACTAATTTTAAAGACTAATTATAAACAAATTAAATATGAAAAATGACAGAATTTTGCGAGTAAGTTATGTTTGCTAAACTCGAATCCTGTTAAAATAAAGCTGTCCATCGAAGTCTCGGGTTTCTATAAAAGATTGAGTTTTGATCGTGAAGTTTCGCGCACACCCTAAGGTGTCTGTCGACAAGAAAAGTTTTGCATACATGTGTGTTCGAGTGTGTGTGAGTGCATCATACCCTGTAATTTTGACGAGGCTCGGACGCATCTTTGTGAGCACTGGGCTCGGAAGATAATTACAGTACAAGGTATGAACGAGTCCGACACCTCGACTGCGTCGATGTCAGCGGCGCTATTTTGATTCGCGACTTTATCTATCTTTTTTACTTGGCACACTGTCTGACCTCGGCGTTTCATTTGTCCCGATCCTTCTTCGTATTATTGAAACTTAACGTTCACGCGCGTGGGCGCGAAGCAGTATGCATTATGACACGTACATTATTATCTCGAAGATTAATGTGTGTATCGACGACACATAGATATATCGCATTTCTCTTAATAAATATGTGTTTATGAGAGGCCGAGCGATAAATTATTAGCTGCACTCTTTTTGCTTGGTTAATCGTACAAAAGAACCCCCTAACTGCCTGCTCGCCATTATCATGCGTTTCACATGAATTTTCATAGTTTCCTGTACTTGCAAACATACACATTTATCAAACTAATATCAATAAAATCGAGTTTAATATTATTACATAGTTACATAAATAAAGTCTTCTATTAAAATTAACGAAAATAAATGGAATTCTTGTACACGTTGAGAAGCAGGAAAATACTTGGTCTCAATACTATAGCTCTAGAACATTATGAAGTAAACATCGACAAAATTTATGTACAATATGATCATTTGTTATGCATGTGCGTGTAAGTAAGCATTCCACGAGCATACGTAGCGGAGCCCGTTGGCGAAAATAGGAACAATAACTCACATATATATTATATTATATACACTATAAAATATGCATACAGGTATACAGAAACAATAATTTTGTATCACGTGTATCATTTTTTTTTAATACGTATTACCACAAACGATCTCAGAATTAGTTAATATTATAGTTCAAATTGTATTTTTATTAATTGGCAAACAGTTTAGCTCAGTTTATTGGAACAATAATCGGCGCAATGAATGAATGCTTTACAGCAAATACATCTCAATTCACGCACATAGTAATTTACCGTACGCGTACGAAGGCGGTGGCGACAGTCACTTGCTGCACGAAGAGAAAGTATTTTTGCGAGGCTTACAAAATCATCAATGTAATCATCATTATCATAATCATCATTGGGTATTGACTATACATACTGAACTCGTGAAATTGTTGCAACTTTCTTTGCAATCGAACCACTGGTACGGACCAATTATAATCTAATTTACACGCGATATAAATAATATATGGGTAAGGCTTGGAATTTTTCGGATTTGGAAGCGCATTCTATTTATTATAGTATATAAAAAAGCAAACCAACACTTTAGACTCCTAGGTCACTTGTACCCCCACACTCCGCATGGACGTCTTTTTTCTATTTTACCGATATTCGAGCCGTTTTTACCTTAAAAGATCTGAAAAAAAATTATGAAGGTATATTCCAACAATCCGAATGACCGCAACCAATTTTTTAGATTAGAAAGCTAACAGATTGAAAATTATTTAGTAATAGTTATATAATTTACTACGTTCTATTATATGTCCAGTTAAAAAAGCTTCTCTCGAGCAACAATTATTTGCAACTTTGAAAAATTAATCATTTCGTACACTTGCGATGGATATATCATAAATATGAGTATAAAAAGCTGTTGTTCACTATTTAAAAATATTTTGTCTACTGGAACACAAAATTATATTTAGTAAATCTACTCTCTCTTTGAATCCTTCAATCAAAAAGCAGTGGTTTGATCGCTGGGTAGATAAAGTATTATGTGAAAAATTTCCTTTGAATCTACAGATCCTTGCTTTGTATATCAGTGAAAGGTGACTGTCAATTATCGTGGGCCAATTATTAATTAAGTCTAATGAACAGGTCAGTTAAGTCGTGACGTATGCGCACATACACAAATGGGTGCCGAACACGTGACGGATTTGACCAACTGAATTTAACCAGATAAGTGACAATCTTTCATTGATTGACCGAAGACATCAGATCCGGCTTGTACTAACAATTGTTTAAATTTTTTGAGATCAACGTTGGCGTTATAATCGCAAATACCTATTCAAGTATACTATTAGATATCTAGCTCCAGTTTAAATACAACGTGAGAGTGTGATACAAGGTCGAACTTTTATGCTATTACTGTTCGCTGTTGCAGTTTTCTATTACGATCTGCTGAACTCGTTAATGGTGTATGTTTACGGCTTTGTTGATCTCGAAAAACTATTGCGAACAAGTGTCTGCATGCCACTACTTGTAGTGAGGTAGCTTTAAGATTTCAAAATAAACTGTTTTCGTCTCCCTCTTTTTGCGTTTTGCTTGATTTTCAGATTATAATGTAAAATGAAAGCTTCAAAAGCTTGTATTGATAAACAAAAGCTGTCGAGGCATTTTTTCCATGACAAGTAATGTGTCAAGTAAAAAAATGACAAAAATTGAATTTTCGCAACAGGTGTTTCACGCAGTGAATCGTGTTCGTATGTTTGCATATATATGTTTTACAGAATCATTTCTGTACGATACATTTCATACGTACACAATAGGAATCCAGATTTTTTGGGTAGAAATGAAAAAAGACTCCTGTCAAATACATGCACTCAAACATACATAAATGTATTCGAGCTAATCGATCAATAAATAAGATATCTGCACTAATATCATACTAAGTGCATAAGCATAATTTAAGGCTTAATATATTTACCTTTATTACCTTTTCATAAATCGTAAGCATCGTCGTCATTCAACTCGATCTCACTTTAAATGATGGATTTATTTATATTCTTTTAAGAGTTGGAAGGTATTTAGATTATTACCTACTCTGGAGTATATAAAAAGTAAACTTCTTTTATCTCCACCGCATGTATTACCGTATCCTTATCCGAAAGTATTCATATGCTCTTGAATTTTTTAATTTTATTTATTAAGGCAGATATATTTATGTATGACTTATAATACTAGCGTGAGCACGTGTACAAGTAACTACCTTAAATTCCACTTGGCACTGTCGCTTTATACTTTATTGGTTCACTTGATAAATTATTTGCTAAGCTCGAGTTTTCGTTATTAGTAATGATAACGTGATTTTTTATGTTTTAGCGGTGGTAGTGCGGTATTTAACAAGACGGTACATCGGAGAATACAGTTCAACTAGTGGTAAGTACAATTATTTTCAAGAACATTTACTTTATTTCTGTATTAACCTATTAATGCGCAGAAGGGCAATTTCGGGCATGTATTTTACATTGTAAAAAAATCGTTCATGAAGTTAAAATCTTTTCTTGAAAATCTATATCAAGGAGTTTTTTGGCGTGCTCTTTCAGAATCCGGTTTTATTTTTGCGATAAATAAAATTTATCATAGTTTATTTTGCAATTAAAAAAAACGTGATTTTTGGACTTAAATTTTTTTTTTCAAAGTCGATTTTCTACCTTGTCCTGCCTTCGGAGGGTTCCCATAGCACCAGCAATCGTGTACTTTTTCTCTGAACCTTCAAGAAACGTGTTACTGCAATTTCTATCTAGCCCCTGTATTTCTAAAATGACGGATTCATACCAATCACCGATATAAAAATTCACTCATTTTTTATTTATAAACTAAAAAACTATTGACTTTATAAAAAAAAGTCATACGATAAAAAGTATACTGTAGAATTGAGTCAATTGATTTCCCCATTATGCCACTTAAATCCACCCCATAAAAGCAGAATAATAAGCAAAAAAGCATTAGAAAATTAAAATCCAACTTTGAGCCTCTGCAGATCTATAAGGGATGGTTCTACAGGGCTAAAATTTTAAGGATTTTCATTTTTCAATGTACTCTCTAAGAATACATACTAAGTCTGAAAGTCATTTTTTTGACATATCACGTTTGACGTGGAATAGCCCATACGTACTGTGTAATGAATATTTTGTCGTGTGACCGATTTGTAGTACATTGCTCCGCGTTACTATACGAGCCAATGCGCGCATATTAATACGATTTTTAAGCGCATCGAGTTTGTGTTTCACGCACCGTATGCCTAATGAAAATCGCTGATGATAAATCCAAGCGTACCCCACACCTAACATCGTACAGCTATGCTCACTTAACGTAATGCCATTATATGCAAAAGTTTATACGCACATGCGGTACTGAAAAATGCCGATGTTACCTCGGCACAGACGTGTTTCTCAGCGTTCCAAGGCTATTATTTTATTTTACCAACACGAGCAGCAAAAGCTACATAAACGCGCGTACGTGTGTGTTCGTCTGCGCCCAGTGTAAAGTAAAGTACTTGAACGTTATCATTCTTAATCAAAACAAAAGTCCAAATAATCGTACCCCCTTTGCAGTGTACGCGACAAGGAGGCTGCATTATTCACCGGCTGGTTGCATATTGTATGCACGAGCAATTAAATTCGCACCTGTCGTTTTTCTCTGCCCAGACTGTGGAGAAAAAGACTGTCGTCGTGAGCGATAACGACTATTTGAAAGCGAATATCATTTAAGGATTGTTCAAAAACCTCAACAATGGCAGTTAATCAACCATACATTTTTTCCTCAAGTCTTTTAAGTTCACATCTGAAATTACCAGGTGCTTTCAGATTATCGCAACGATCCAAAAATCGAAGTCAGGCCGAATGAAAATCTCAAGTTTCATCGTACGATAAGTAAAAAGATTTTTCAGAAATGCATTTCGAATAGATTACTGTGGTAAAAAACGAGTTTAGTAAACCGATACGCGGCGCGCGCGCGCACCTATATCTATATAAACATTTGCGTGTCGATGTTGCACACTTGGACTCGTAAGTTATGCATTGTATATCTGCAACGCGGGCGCAATATACCATTAGTTGAGCGTAAAAACAAATAAAGAAAAAGACTTTTCAAAAAAGATCGTAAAATTACGTGATAAGATCTCTCTTATTTTGAGTCTGCGCGCGATTGTACGAGCGAGTATACTATACTGCACATTTGTGTTGATGAAAATTCTGTGCAGCTGCCAGAGCGAGACACGAAGATGTTCTCTTCGAGAGCCCATGTGTGAGTGTGAATAATTATTGCAACGCTGAGTTCGCTAGTCGCTTGAGTTATGAGCTTCACAAATGTAGATCTTCACATTCTTTGCTACCCTGAATACATATGGGCTATTTCAAGTCAAGAATGATATCTAAAAAAATCAAAGTCTATCTCTAATAGACCTACGAGGCTCAAGGTTGAATTTTTATTTTCTAAATGTAAGTTTGTTTTTATGGAGTACCTGTGATAATATATTTAAATAATTATTTTTGATATAAGATTTTCTAATCTTAAAACTCCTCGAAAAAGGCCAAAAAGCCAAAAATAAACTTGCTCGCATGCTTTGAAGAGACCAATATTAAAAATACTATTCCCAACTAGCTTTATGGGCAAACCAATGGATGCATTTTTGCATGCTATCATATTGTGTTAAATAATTTTTCGATTATTCTATTTGTTTGTTTTCTTTTAAAGATTTTGTTTGATCTTTCGAAGAAAATATTTTAATATTGTCCACAAACAAGTTTGTTTTTTGACTTTAAGGTTTTTTCCATAATTAAAGGGTTTTGAAGTTATGAATATGACTTTCAAGAAAACATTTAAATTCTACATTGAATTTTACATAAATGCGATCACTGTTATTTTTTTATCATCGCCCTATAAAATTAGAATACCGTTTAGAAAGGGAAATTTCGACTTTGAGCTTCTATAGATACACGAGAAATAGACCCAAAAGGGGTCAATATTTTAGAATTTTTTACCCTTGATTCACTTTAAAGATTAAATACTTTTTTTGAAATATCAAACCTTATAATATCTTTAGCAATGAGTTCACCGATATTGACAAAATTAAATTTTTTTTTTGTGACTTGACAAAATAGGGCAAAATAAATAGTTTTAGTCCTCAAATTAATGAGATAGCTTAGAATCTATAAGAATTTCTATTTTCTATCGAATCATGAACGAAAGTTTGTTTTGAAAAATCTAAGAAAATTCATGAAGGTACATTGTAAAAATCTTAACCCGTTAACGCCGAGACGGATAGAATTTTTTTCTCTATTGTAGTCTGCAATTAAATCATCTTATCGGAGCGAGAAAAATTTTTGAGTACTCATTTTCTATGTAAAATTTAATGTACTTTTTGAATATGGGTTTATAATTAACCTCTGATAAATATTAAAAAAGTTATAAACAATTTACTGCGAAAAAACACGATTTTGAATCTTGAAAAAAAACTTTGATTCAAATTTTTTTTATGAAAGAGACTTGATCTGTGGCTAATAATACCTAAAATTGTGGAATAATGACCTACAGTTTAAAGTACTGTAGGTGGGATTTGAATATTCAATAACTTTTTTTTCTAATGTTGATCGTTTTCGAACAAAAAAGTACATTTTTTGGAACATTTTTTGGTCAATTTCTTGGGAAAAGTGTATTTTTTGGAGTCTACCATTTTGAATATTCAAATCCCACCTACAGTACTTTAAACTGTAGGTTATATATGGTCAAGAAAACGTTTCATTGATGATCTAAAAGGTTACATTTCTACTAGGGATACAACGTACAAATTATTTAAATATAAATTTATACACATGCGCTTTCCAATATATTCATTACAAATAAATCGTTCATACACGAGGAGAAATCTCTTGATGATGATAGCTTGTTAGTTTTTTTTCACTCGGCCAAAGAGTATAGTGTCACAGTATAATTTTGTCGCAATTTATTTATAAAGAGAGAGAAAGAGAGAGAGAGAGAGAGAGAGAATCGTAGTGTAGAAAAAAAAATCGTTCGTCGGCTCGAGGAGACCGCAAAATGACAATTTGAAATCTCACTTGCATCTCTTTCTTGCACTCTCAATGTCGTCGTTGAGCTTCAAAAAGAGAAATAAGGAGAGAAAGCTCGAGATAAAAACGCCTCTTCTTTGGCGTTGTCGTAAAGAAATCTTCAATATACGTTCAACTACTATATGCACGAATGACATTTCCTGATGCGCACGTGCTCGTCTTCCTGGAGCACAATATGTAGCATGCCATTATCACATATGAATTTACGCATGGACGTGCACATGTTTATCTAGGTCACTTATGCGTCCTACAATAGTCAAAGTGGATAATAATATATTTTTGCTATATCATTTTTTTATATCGCTCTTGAAACTGAAAAAGCAACATTAAATCTATCACACATATTAAGATTTTTCCAGCGAATCGTCACGATCAGCGTATGCATCAGCACAATAATAAAATGAAGAACTATCATGCAAAAATAAAAAAGAAGATGAACAACTTGCTCTTTTTTTTGCTTTCATCGTGAACTTCCGGCAAGATGATTATCCGTTCGATACGAAATATAATATCACAGAATTGCCAGCCATGGTGCATTTCTTTCGGTTGTAATCTTGGCGGCAGTCACACCTGAGCATTATATGGCTGTCGACATCGCATAATACGCGTGTATAGCTCGAGCGCGTCAGTCGAGGCGCCAGTCATATACTTATTGCCGTCTATACACACTGGACTCGCGTCGCTCCGGTAGCTTTCATTATATTATACCTGCGCACTGCCTACATGCATGCGCAGTGCGGTATATGCAGGCGGCACGAGAGCACGTGTGTGGCAGCGGCAAACGAGTTTTCAGCGAAAATTTTGCTCTGCAGCGCCAAGGCGCCTGCGATTGTATTGCTACTACTACTACTGCGCCGATCATGCTCATTTGCTCGGCACTTTTGAAAATATTATGCTTACTGCAGGCTTGAACTGTTTCTTGATTTTCAATTTTTTTTATCCATAGAAAAAAACAACGAGCTCGCTAGCGTATTTTTCAAATTATTATGAATCACGAGAATACTGAGTTCAAGTAATAAATGTGTGATGTGTTATTAATATTTTTTATAAAATCAAGAAAATGTGTCTTTCAATTTGGAGATATTGAAAATGATAAATAAGATTAAGATTAAATGTTTGTAATGAAAATTTTAATATTGCGGGCATAACAAGGTGCTTCGTCTAGCTTCAGCCAGTTCAGTTCTCTCGTGTATTATATGAACTATTTAACTTAATCATGTCTCCGTATAAATTGATAAATTATTTGTTTTAAGATACATGTTTGTATGCACATTTCATTTCCCAGCAAGAAAAATAGAGAGAGAGAGTGAGAGAGAGAGAGAGAAATTCATTAAAACGAAACTTTCTATCACGCGTGTTTGTGCATGCACATCAAACGTTTTTTCATCATATAATTCTTATAAATGCTCATCGAAAAAATAGTTCCGTTCCAGTCTAGGATTTTAACTTTGATAAAAAAAAGAATATAATTTAAAATTTTAATTTAACATAACCAAAGTATAATTATTGTAACTTTTATAAAATAGGAATTATAAAATGTAGATTATATTATTTGCAACAATTCAAAAAACGTCATAAATCGCTTTGATACATATAGAAGAGCATTTCAATCTTTGATAACTTAATCAGATAATATTTTTTTTACTTATGGAATTATAGCAAGTGACGCTTTAATTATCTTGTTCGAAATCTAAGTATACTTTAGAGTCGATGCGTAATTGATCATACCTTATCTATTGCATAAATCACAGAATGACAATAAGTGTGCCTCATTGTGTATCAAAAACATTTAACAATAATTCATTAATTTAATCGAGATCAAGAAAAAGTAAAAACACCCCAAAAATGACTGCATAGTTAAGTGCAACGTGCAAAGACGCTGTTGCGTTGTAATTTCGTTCTAAATCTCGAGAAAGGAATGAAGATGGTGATGAGCGACTAAGTTTAGTTACATGCGAGAGCAGCTATGTAAATGAGTCCACAGCGTGCTCAAGCCCCAGCAAGATGTATCGTTGCTCATTTGCTACACGTTGGGCTGCGCTTTACTGCTACGAGGCATTTGCTTAATAATTTGTAACTTTTCCTATCGCTTAGAATAGCTACTGTATAATATGCACTTGTATCTCTTCGTATTCACTGCTGTTTCTGCCGACACTGTGGCTTCTCGTACTACTACTTTTCACGCCAGTACTATCCTCTGATCATTTTTTCCAGTTCTAAATAATCTAAGCTTAGGTTAAATGGTTTTTCCGTTTTTCCCAACTTGGTTATCAAATAATGTCGTAGTAAATTACAAAGGAATTAATCTTTACAATCCACATAAAATTGAATAATACGACGCATGCAAGAGGCAATAACATTTTTCATTCGTCGATGTTTTATAGACACTTTATAAAATTATTCATCAACCCGAGATAATTTCGTTTTTTCGCGCACTGCTACCCGTGCAGCCCATAATTATCAATTTGACCTTTTTAATAATCAATTAAAAACGATCTTATAATCCACCGCGTGCTCGGGCCGAAACAAAGCATGTGTCTTTGCTCGCGACTACGTGCTCATATTCCAGAACCAGTTTTTTCGATATGCTTGGTATTATATGTATGGTATTATACATGCACATACACATGTTTACCATATTATCAAGTCGTCCAAGTGTGCGCTGTACATGTGTGCAGTTTGCGGATCGTGTATTGGTTGGAAAGCAAAATAAAGCCAATCGTGAAAGTAAAGCCAAGGTCAGAAGTGTTTTCGTCCTCTCTCGCATCCAATGTATCTATGTCGTGAACATGTGTGTGTATACACGTTTGCCTGCATAAGTCTGTGTATGTAAGAATATATACACGCACGTATGTATGTAAACAGCAGCGTCTCATATCGGATGGATGTGTGTAAAGTATTAAAGGGGAAAGATGTTGCTGCTGCCGTTCCGTAAGTACGTTCCATGTAAATCGACCATCAGCCCCTGAAAATGCTTCGGGCGACCCATTAAATCTCTCACTGCTCGCGCGACTCGAATCGAGAATGTGTCTCGTGATATGCGCTTGTTCGCCTGGCGCGCGACTTTTTTGTCAAGTTTCATTTGTTGGAAAACAAGATCGTTTTTTAGTCGTAAATTCAAGATGATTATTTGTACCAGGCATTAAAAAATCATTGCAATATTCCATGGGACGCAAGTTTAAAAGCTTTTCTGCTTTCAATTTACTTCGAGAAGTTGCGTAGAACAAAAAATATTAACGAAAGTCAATGAAAAAAATAGAAATCGTAAGGGCATTGAAGATTAGAGTCAGTGTCCGCATACTCTGAGTATCTTTTATCATGCACCTTTGAGTCATTCCACGTTAAGTCTCCTATACGACGAGGCTCGCACGGCATTATTAGGTGAAACCACCCAATTTATAACTCGCTGTAAAAGTAACTAAATGCACCTAGAAGAAAAAAGTAAAGCATAATTTCGATGGGAAATCGCCTCAACTTTACGGTAGTGAGGTCAGATTTTCGAAAATTTTCCATTTTCTTCGGGAAAATCGCCAGAAAATCTCTAAAGTCAAATACCTCAAAAAGGTCATTTTTAAGATTTTTCTAAATAGTCTGAATCGAAACCTGAGGAAATTTACAAGTTTTCAGAGTGTGCTTCTGATTATTACTTATTGAAATACGACGAATGTGTAAAAACGTGATATTTCGAACTGCACGGCGCAGAATCTTACGTTTTTACATGTTTTTTATGTTCGTCGCTGTATTTCAATAAATTTTCAACAAATGTTCGAATGTGTGTAGCTATGTATGACATTATATTGTATACATTGTATGTATGTGTGTGTGTGTGTGTATATGCACCAACAGCCAAAATCTCAAAAATGTGACGTTGAATTCATGCATCTCAATCAATTGCATTTATTGCCGATTGATGCAAAAATGAAGCCAGTACAGCCAGTTTGACAATATTCGTTGAAAAAATATTTTTTCCGATTTTTTTTTCTCAAAATTCAAAAAAAAAAATGTTTTCATTCATTGGTCATAAAATCATTTCTCTACGAGGAAGCTATTTGCAAATAAATTGGAAAAAATTTAGTTAGATCGGTTTACGATTTTCTATTTTATAAAAAAAAAATTTTTTTTGATTCAAAACGATTTTGAAATCACTAAAATGCTACCCGGTAATGTATTTTTTTTTAGACTACCATTTTTGAATATTGATGAACAATTAAATAGTCGGTATTTAACTCGATATAAATTTGTTAACATGGTTAAATACATATTACAAAAAAGCCTTGAGTATTCCATTTACTCCTTTTCGTGAAAGAAAAAATCGAGAAAATCTTATCATTGTTGGTGTTCGCTACACTAGTCAAAAATCTTGCGAGTAAATCTAACCAAAGCGGTTATCACATTCAGCTTATAGATCTTTTCTAACACAGAAAAAAATAAAAGAAAACGTCCCCTTAAAATAGAATTTGTTCATCGGACACAATTCAGTCCAGGTAAATATTTATCTTCATGGGTAATTTTAGAAAAATTATACTGTCATCAGTACTTCTAATTAAATTGGCTCCTTCCACCTTACAATGCAATAGTGGTTTTAGAGTCAAACCTTATAAAGTCTTGAATTGAAAATCTACTTTGAATAGTTTAGCAGTTGATCGTGAAATCTGGAAAATTATTGAATTGAGTGGAATAATCTCGAAACGAACATTTCAGTTGAAAATTTCAAGGCTACTTTTTGTTTTACACAAGTTGAATTAATTCAATGTTTATTTTGAAAGTTTACCAGTTCAAAGAAAAGATCACTCAACGTTTTAACCATTCCGTTATTGATTGCGATTTTAATATAAAAAATGATTATACTATGAATCCTAAGCAATAATATTAAACATGAAAATCACGATCGGTATTTCACCTACATCTTTACTTCTCAAAATAATGCTATACTAAACCGTTGTTCCGCGTCCGCGACATATTTTGATCGAGCACGTTTTTAGCTCGCTCATTACTTCCGCAATAATTTTTTCGACAACTTTTCTTCTTGATTAATGCACATTACGAGTGCTATGTTTGTGAATTTCAGAATATATATGCATAATGCATCGTGAAATTTTAATAAAATTGTTCATTATCCCATCGGTGGTACACTTTTAGTTTTATAAAATAACTATATCCAAACGTTTTCTCAAAACGATCAAGTTTTGTCGTGCATACATTTTGTTTTGTCTATAAAATAACTGCTCTCATCGTTTTTGTAAGAGCTCGATCTCGCTCAAACTATATCGCACTTTCGTTTTCAATCATCCTTCCGCATTGGAAGTTGATAGAATCAGGCGATGCACTTGGTGAGCAAGTAGGAAATTTTCCATAATCACTCTCATCGAATTCGTCGGGGGGAGATACGATATGCAACATAAGCTCGGATTGATTCAAGTCAGCTGAAAAAGGAAAAAAATATTAAAATTCATGGCAAGGAAAGCGTCACGACGACGACAGTGACGCGACATATGCAACTTCGAAGTCAAGCATATGGGTTGTACATATGTACACGAGTACATATAAAATACTAAAACACGATTTGCCTTTCTTAGGTATCATATCACGTCATTATGATCATCATGCACACACTCACACACACACACATACACACATATATATATATTTATATACATTTATGCAGCATCATATCAGTTATGGCCTATCTTTCGCTTAAACGTATCTTAGCGAGACTTGCCCGAGGGATGTGCAAACGATACATAGGATGTGCATTTTTTTAGCTAAGCCACATGCTAAAGCTTCGTCTGTCTATCTGTTGCAGATTTCCTGTACCGACACAGCGTTACCATCGACAACGTTAACACCGAAGTCGAGATACTAGACACGTCCAGGTGTGAGGTAAGTGCATAGAACATACCTACGGTTTCTTATATTTTTCCGCCTTGTTTGTCGTTCATGTGACAGGAGAAACATTAGTTATAGTATCATGCACAAGTTTCACTTTCGTGCATTATAATAAGTCCTAATACAGAAAAAAATGACGAAGAAGGAAATAAATCGTTGCGATCGGTGGACCGACTTTACCCTTTGATGATGAATTATATGATCGATGGATTATCGCGATGTGCACGACGAGCATCGATCTCTTCGTGCTCGACGCTCGTGCCCTTCGAAGAAAATAAAAATGAAAAACGTCGTATATGCCTTTCAAAGTTTTGTTTTAGTGAGGGACTGCACTGATTTGAAGATTTATCATCGCCTGATTGAATATCAACAAAACTTTTGCAGGTAATTCGTCGTTGCACGAATTTAAAGCCAACCATCTCTATAAATTACGTTAAATTATCCTGGATTCAGACGATCATCTCGCCAAGTCAGTTTTAAGGAAGTGAAAAAAATCATCATCGTGCAAAACTCATAAGTTATAAATTAAAATAGAGAGCAACTTGCATCCACCGTCAGTTCTTGTACGGAACAATGGGTTGACTTTTCCCAGCTCATCTATTGCACAATATATAAACACCCGAGCATAAACACGATCTGTGGCTGGCCGTCCTAAGCGCAGCAGGCCATCTATTCTTACTTTAAAATTTAGCCTTTGGCGACGCCGTGTACATAATATTGAGTTGGAATATCATAGATTCACACTTGGTGCATATTAAATTATGATCTTACAATCCGTGCTCTTCATTCTGTATTAACTCAAGTTTAAATTTGGAAAAAAATCGCATCTTCGATCCCGAATGAGCCTTGATACATTGATATCTTAAATAAGGGACAATCAATGATTTATTAATCGATTAATCAAATCTTGTAATTTTCAAAAGTTACTTACATATTGCTCTAAAATCGATGGTTTTTTAAATCATTAGTGAACGGACGTGCAAATGTTCAATAGTTTCAGTGCATTAGAAAATAACGAACTGTACCGGTAGTTGGCAGCTAATTAACATATCGCAGCTAGCCGTGTGATTTTTGACGCCATGAATTGAAACTCAAGCCGAGCCAACCAGCCGTTTAAGCCGCAAAGTCGATTTATCTTAAAAAAGTGTCTCTCTCTCTCTCTCTCTCTCTTGCTTTGCTGCAACACGCATGTGTGTATCCCATGTAGTTGCGTGCAAACGCATGTGGTATAAAACGTAACCGTTCATTGAATAACTCACCGATACGTATCCCCTTTATATACGCGCACAGTATATAGAATATTCTTTTGTAAAGCCCCCTTTAATAGTAATATCTCTCTTTGAGATCGAGCGCAAGCGCAAACTCGCATTGATTTGAAAGTGCGTACGTACTTATATGATAGTATGAGTAAATATACATAGAAATAACCACGACTACACTTGGTGGCTAAAAAAGAAATCGGTACTAGCAGCTACCAGAGAACGAGGCCAATTCGCGGTGTCGGCGTACGCACACACACACACACACACACACACACGCGAATAAAAACTCACACACTCGAACCCACAAACGCTCTAACTTATTTAAAAAGTAAAACCGATTTCCTTGATAGATGCTTGAAACCGATTGTCACCCGGTATTCGCTCGACTGCGCACACTACCGTTTCGTAACGCTGCGCACCCTATGCTGTACCCGCTACTGCCACCGCATGGATCCATGTCGCTGCCACCTTCGGATTATGTTATCGAGATGCTCATAATCGATTGCGCCGTCCAATTTCTTTGGTAAAATGGAACTCGCGGACGATTACGTGTGTTTCGCTTATTCGAGCTCACAGCATGCATGATGCCATTGGACCTGAAAGATATTTCAATGGGACTCAACAAGCTCGATTTTTGCAATGCATACATATATTTAATTTAATTGGGGTGATGACTAGAAAAAATTTCCAAATAAACTTTCAGGACCCTTATATTGTATGTTTCTGCTCTAACATGCAAATACTTTGTTGATACGTGTGCTAGTAAAAAAAGTATTATCCGAAAGCTCACTAGTGGCACTCTTTTCATTTATTCTTGACAATCATAATTCGACAAATCGAGCAGTATAATATATCTTCTACTCTTCTACTTATAAAAAAGAGAACGGCCGAAAAGTGAAGCAGCGTAAAACGACCTCTGATTGGCTGACACTGACGACGACGCCCGACGCGAGCCGACTCTATACGAGTGCCTGTGCTGCTAACTGTCAACAGACAGTTAGTACTTGAGTAACCTCAAAATTCTAATGAAAAAATTGACGCGCGCGAAGCGCGTTTGAAACTTACTATTTCTGAACTATTTCTGAATCTTAAACTAACCTCAAAACACAAATAAAAAAATTGATACGCGCGGAGCGCGTCTTAAACGTCTAGTGCACTAAATAAAAATCTCGGAGCTACCGTATTATTGAATTGAGTATAATATGTTGAAAATGCGCATTTCCGAGATCTTTTAATGTGGCATTGCTGCCTCTCAGTAGGTATAACCCTGCACTTCCGCTAAACACTTTTATAAACGAGCGATTGTCTTCGAATGATATTCTTTGATAATGCGACGAAAATAATAATAAATAGCCTTTGAGCTAGTGCGCATACAATCTTGTAAAAGGATGACAATATTTATTTTTGTCATGAACAATTGGATTCTTTACATGTGAAAAAGTAAAAAATTCTTTCAGCCCTCCATTAGAAGCTTTGCGCAGTTACTTTTCCTATTCGCTGTATATATGCTACAAGCTATACTTATATGTGCGATCGTAAATTCTATGGAATTTCTTTATTTATTCTATACCCAGTAGTACCTACAAATGACTTTGTTTATGAATCAGCATTTGCGAATTACAGCAATGCTACGATTTTCATTTAATTTTTTTCAAGTTACTTCTTGAATTACTCAAACTTTTTAATTTGTGAGCGAATGCATATATCAATAATACTTTGCGCAACAAGTGCGGATGTGCTATTTTGCAAAACGAGGGGTTATTGTACCAGTTAAAGGCAAATATAATCACAAGTATTGTTGGAAAAATATTATTCCACAAGCTTCATACAACATTTTATAACATTAGATACTAAAAGTAGCGTAAAATGATTTCGGTTAGGGTACTATAATACCATTTCAGTTCAAAGATTTGATGAAAAACATTTTAATGTGCCCCGTGATGTCATTTTTGAGGCTGGATCCCCGATAAGATTGCATTTCAAACCAATGAAATTTTTTTCAAACAATTAATCGATCTTCAAATTTTAGGGAATCAATTATTAAGCCATAAAGTAACCGTATAAGTTGAAATCGTGCCATTATCGCGTGAACAGGCCTACCCTCAAACGATTCATATGTACACATATATCCATGGCAATATTGCAGTCTTTTACGAGCTGTCGTAAAAGCTCATACTTTACTCTTTTCTGCATGCACATATTATAATGCAGCATACCGCCAACATTATGTGAGCATCGAGATAGAGAACAAGAGAGAGGGAAAACACCTATTACACGCGATTCTTTGGCAAACCGCAAATTACGGTTGTTTTCTATACAAAACTCTTAGATCTCTGCATAGCGTATAGCAGTAGTAAAAGTTTGCAATTTTTTTCTCATTCTTCTAGATTTTTATTTTATCATGAAATTTAGTATTACTGAGTTTGTATAAATAACTCCGTCAAAATTGCCGAAAGAAGAAGTATAGAACAATAAAATACTTTTTGATGAAAAATTGGGATGAAAATTTTGAAATTACCCGTATGAATTTTCAATACTTGACGATGCGTGTGTGACCGCCACAAGAATTTTTCGAAATTTTACTTATTTATGAACGACTTTCCCACACAATTGTAGCGGGAAAAATCTCGTTTCATAGAGGTCATTCTAACGCTCTTAATCGATACTTCAAAAGCTGATTGCAGGCAAATAGAGAGATGTTCAAGTAGACAATAACGCGCATTTACGCATCATTACCATGGTAAAGTATTTTTAATCCATTATATCCAATAATTTCCCATGTCGCAAAAACGTACGAAATGGATTTTTGGAAATCCAAGCCAATGAATATGTGCGCTTTGAATATATATAAGCGCACATGATTTCATTAAAAATAGTCAGGTATTGATATCGCGGATCTCGCACTAATTTCATTATCCCTCTGCGTACGGGCTGCGCACTTATAAGTACAACATCAACGAAGAAAAAATATCGCTGCTTGTTCAGATCGATACCCCGCAATCTTTGCCATGGTCAAAATCACCCGCGTCACGATTAACGCATCCCCTTCCCTCTTTCGTCGATGTACGCACTCAAACTTGTTATATTCGTCTGACACGAAACCAGTTATAGAGCGAGCGAGTATTGGTCTGGCTTCGCATACATCTCACGCAATAGCCTGATCTTTGCAACTTTTAGTTTTTTTCATTCACTGCCTGCAGTGTAGCCACGGAGGCATAGTGTTCTTGCGCGTAAATGTACCCCGACGAGCCATTGTTTTTTTTTTACCTTTGAAGATTCCGGTCGTTACTTATGGATACTCTCCGCTTTACTTCCTTGCCTTCTCTCTTTTCACTGCTCGTTGAAGCTGTACCTGGTTTGACTTTTGGGTAGACTGTATTTGAGAATGGGAGGGCCTCAGAAATCGTGCGAGCGCGAGGTACCGTTTAAGTACTTGCGTCGTTATCGTTGTGCGAATCACACAGACAAACTACAGATACATTCGCGTTCGCTTGTTTTCTTAACTTGGCATGAGAAGGAGGTGCGAGAAAAAATGTGCCTTTTATTAGAGCTGCTGTTGCGGTGTTGTTGTGACTGCTGCACCAAAATATTCAACTTGCACATTGAATTTCTCTTCCGTGCATAATAAGAATAAACGATTGCGAAAAAATTGGATTCAAAATACGAATGGAAAACCAAAGATCTCTTTGACGCGATATAAATATATATTTTCAAGGTGGCGCTCGATACCCA